GACAAATGAGGCAAAGGATTGGGCTTCAGGAGTGTGTAGCCCAGTCTCATTGGGTGACGCCCACTCCCAGAGGTTCATTGCCGGTGGAGGTGAGATCCACCTGTTTCCCCAGGAAGTTGAAACCAGTCTCACACTTCCATAGCTCAAGGCTAAGGGTGCTCAGCTCCTAAGTGGCAGCTTCCGACAGAGCACTTTCTCTGTGTCCCACTCCCAACCCTTACACCCACCCCATAGATGACTGGTTTCTGAGAGGAGAGAGGAGCAAGAGATGGGAAAAAGAGAATGAGGAGGGGAAAGTGGGTATTATCCACTGACTTGACTCACAATCCTATGGGGGTTTTGCTTGCTTTGGGTATGGCCTCCAGAGACAGTTCTAGGAAAAAGTGGAAGGCAGAGGGAAAGAAGGATCATCAAATTACACAACTGGGGATTTTCAGCATCAAAAGAAATACTGTTTCCGATTTTTCTCCTAAAGATACTGCTAAGCTAGATATGAACCCCACTCACTTATAGATGAGAGAACTGAAATCCAGCAAGATGAGGTCACTTTTCCAAGACTACAAAGTGAGGTGGACACAGAGGCCAAAGAGGAGCCTGTCTCCTGACTCACTCTGTAACCCTCTCTGCAGTGTCACTTACTGCTCACACTCAAGGCATCTGAGTCATCTCTGTGGATTCGACTTTCATAACAACCTCAGAGTTCACTTCCTCCTTTCCTTCCCTGGTGCCATCACCCCATGCCAGGCCTTTGTGACCTCTCACCTGGACTATCACCTTCCAATCTGGTCTTTAGCCAGGTTACGGGCACTCTTCATCTGTCCCTTTCACCACTGCAGGATTAATCTACCCAACACACATTCTCATAGGAGTGTCCCTGAGAGAAGCTCTTAATGACTTCCTGATGTCTAATTTATTAAGTGTCAGAAACTCTTCAGTTCAGTGTTCACAGCCTGCCAATGCATCAGCAGCATGCTCTGCACTCCAGCCTAAACCACTATATCCTCCGAGACTCCTGCTCACCTGCACCTCCCTGCCTTGCTTCTTCTATCTCACCTGAAAAGCCCCACCTGTGACTCACCTAGCAACATATTTTTCTGTTTAAGTTCCTCAGTGGCTCTATTCAAAAGCTACCCTCATCCATGAAGCTTCGCTCAGTCCTCCCACCCTAAAAGCTTATAGCTCCTTATCACACTTTCTTTTGAACTACTGTTCTATGTATGCATATCTTATCTCTATTAGGCTCAGCTCCTTGAGGACATGGCTTGTGTCTTGTTTATCTTTTGTTCCCCAGAGCCTTGCACAATGGAGATACCAGATAAACATTTGATGGATTTTAAAAAATATATTTATTTTTTATTTGTTCTATTTGTACATGACAGCAGAATGCATTTCGATTCATCATACACAAATGGAGCGCAACATTTCAATTCTCTGGTTGTACATGGTGTAGAGATGCACCATTCGTGCAATCATACATGTACCTAGGGTAAGGATATCCATCTCATTCCACCATCTTTCCTACCCTCATAACCCCTCCTCACCCTCCCCTTTGCCCAATCCATATTGTTCCTCCATTCTTCCCATACTCCCCCACCCCCGCCCATCATAGATCAGCATCCACTAATCAGAGAAAACATTCAGCCTTTGGTTTTTTTGGGATTGGCTTGCTTTGCTTAGCACAATATTCTCCAACTCCATCCATTTACCTGCAAATGCCATAATTTTATTCTCTTTTAATGCTGAGTAATATTCCATGTGTATAATATATACCACAGTTTCTTTACCCATACTTGATGAATGTTTTTTAAGGCAATGACTTCTTTCTATATGAATAAGCTCTGCTACAATGTACAGTCGTGTGCAGCATTACAACTTTTCAGTCAATGATGGACCAACTACATGCCCAGTAATGGTCCCATGAGATTGTTTTGCCTAATGATGTCTTAGCTGTCATAATGTTCTGCACAACACATTACGCACATGTTAAAAGTGATGCTACGTAAGGAAGTCTAGGCTATTGTGTGTGTGTTTTTGTCTTAATTTTTAACAAAAGCATTTAAAAATGAAAACTACAAATAGAAAAATATTAAAGAATTTTCATTTCTTCTTTAGAAAACTTACAAAAGTATTCTTGTGTAACTGTACAATGTGTTTGGGTTTAATAAATATTATTGCAAAAGAGTCAAAAAGTTAAAAAATTAAAAAGTGCATAAAATAAAAAGTTACAGTAAGTTCAGTTCAATTTATTATTGAAGAAAGGAAAAATTTTAATACATTTAATGCAGCCTAAGTGTGTGATATTTATAAAGTCTACAGGGGCATCCAGTCATGTCCTCAGCCTTCACATGCACTCACCACTCATCCAGAGCAACTTTCAGTCCTGTGAGCTCCATTCATGGTAAGTGCCATCCGGGTATACCATCTCTTATATTTTATATCATATTTTCACTGTACCTTTTCTATATTCAGATATGCATATACATGTATGTATAATTATTTTTGTGCTACAGTTGCTTAGAGTGTTTAGTACAACACTGTGCTGTTTAGGTTGTTGGTAGGAGTGATAAGATGCACCATATAGCCTCAGTATGCAGCAGGCTAGACCATCTAATTTTCTCTAAATACTCTAGGATGTTCACACAATGACAAAATTGCCTAGCAACGAATTTCTCAGAATCCATCCCTGTTGTTAATCAACTTATACCATTAGTTTAAGTTGCTGAGATGGTTAAATTTGATTGTCAACTAGATCGAGAGAGTTCTGGAAATCAAATGAAGCAGACTGCTGGATGTGTCTGTGAGGGAACTGTCAGAGGTAATTGAGGGGGATAAGTGAACTGAGTAGGGAAGACCTACCCTGAATGTGGGAAGCTCAGTCCAATAGGCTGGGGACCTGGATGGAACAAAAACTACATGTGTGCAAGCTCCTGACTCTCCTTGAGCAGGTGTGGTTTTCTCCATTGTCATCATCCCAGGACATCAGACTCTTCAGCCTTTGAACATGGATTTGTACCAGCAAGTCTCCAGGGAGCTTCCAGGCCGTCAGCCTCAGATTGCATCATTTGTTTCTTATGTTCTGAGGCTCCCAACTTCTTGCATTGAGCTCTCCATCCTGCAGAAGGGCATTGTGAAGCCCTTCAGCCCCTGACCCTATAATCCAATCTAATAGAAAGCTCTTTTAATTATATATACATTTTATTGCTTCTATTCCTCTGGAGAGCCCTGGTTAATACAAGTGTTATTCCTTAGTTTGCAAGATCTTACACTTTTACAGTAGAAACTTCTTCTTCCCTAAAAATTATCTCACATATTGTCCTCAGACTTCCATAGTCAAAGTAATGATAAACAGAATTAACTGCCTAGTCTAGGTGACCAGATGTAAATCAGTAAAAAAATTTCATCAGTTTCCTTTTCACTAAATAAGTTGCTAAATAAATATTGAAAAATATTAGCAGAATCATCCCAAGATCCCTGAAGTGTTTATGAATACATATAACTTATTATTAGGTAACAGAGCTTATTATTAGATCATCAATAAGCTCTCAGTGCACACAGCACTAAGTCGACACATAACCAGTCACCCTGATCTACCCTTTACTGATAATTAAGTACATTGGGGATTGTGAACAAAATGTATTCTTTATTCAAGGTTTTTAAAATCAAGGAGAAACAGGATACAAATTCATCCTGTAAAAACAGTCATGATTTTTTTCTTTCAGTTTTTAATCATTCAAAAATTTTTAAATACAGTTAAACAGTTGTTTCACAAAATCCTGGCAAATATCAGAATCTATGTTTATAACTTAAGAGTAGACCGAGAATATCAGAAATGTCCAGGAAAGCTCTAATTTTAAATTTCACTTGGAGGAAGGAGCAGATGCACAACTATTTCAGAAGTAGATCAGACAGAGATATGGAAGAACTATGTTTTCATTTCAGTTGTAGATGGCACTGATATCTGTCCCCTGACATGTGGCCAAAGGAAATCATGGTTCTGCTAGCCACAGGCCAGCTACTATACCACTACAAATTATTGCCATGAATTAAATTTAAATTTTTAAAGAAAATAAAATTTTCTTTGTGTTTTTGGATGTGTATAGGGGTTAGGGAATAGGATGAAAGAGGGTTAGGGAGGAAGGAAAGCAACGTATAAAAGAATTTTTAGTTTTTTTTTTGTTTTAATCGGATTATCAACTGGGTGTTTTTGTTTTGTTTTGTTTTGTTCTGTTTCAATTTTGTAGACATCTTTATTGTGAAAGGATTTGAATTCAGCTTTTCAATTGGAATTTCCCCCTGACTACAACCCTGACAAATGTGAGGGATTTAATATTAAATAAGTCATTTTAGATGGCTACCTATGTGAAGCCATGATAATGATGTTCAAGACGAGTTTTATTATTATTATTATTATTATTATTATTATTATTATTATTATTATTTGTTCCTAAGCAGGTACTGTTAGGCTACTTTCCTTGACTCAGTTTCTGATTTCTCAAGACAGAAATGGTGTTCACTGTACAGTTAGACTCTTGGGCCGCATTCTGCCCTTCCTGAAGAAGCCTGTCACCAAGTTCCTCCCCAGTGCTGGCTGAGGCAGGTCTCAGGGGCCAGGCACGCACATTTGCATTTGTTGTTGACAACTGTCAGCTTCTACCTCCTTCCCCCCACCACCCCTGTCTAAATGGGGTTTGTAATCCTCCTTCCCACCCACTCTCTTCACTCCCAGGGGCAAGAATGTTGACTCCTGCTCTCTGTCACCTGTCAGAATCCATCCTCCTGTCACTGGCTTATATGGACAAGTCGGCCCACTGTCACGTGACGTTGGGCTGCTAAAAACAGCTCGGGCTCCACTCTGAACGAGGGCCTGAAACAATGTCCTCCACCAAGAGAAACATAAAGGACACTTGATCATACAGTCCTTGGAATTATTTCCAGGAAACACTTGCCGAGGCCATTCGGAGCACCCTTTCCCTGGCAGGGCACTGAGGGACGGCCAGGAGATGAGTGCATCTCTGAATTACAAGTCTTTTTCCAAAGAGCAACAGACCATGGATAACTTGGAGAAGCAACTTATCTGTCCCATCTGCCTGGAGATGTTCACGAAGCCCGTGGTCATTCTCCCCTGTCAGCACAACCTGTGCCGGAAGTGTGCCAGCGACATTTTCCAGGTAGGCTTGTTTGGGATTTGGGGGTGCAAAAGATCCCCTCCTCTCCAAATCAAGTGCTTCATATCGAAGTCGACTCCTTTAGAAAACTTTATATAAAGAGCATTTATTTTCAATTTAAAATACAAATCTAGCTGTATTTTCAATTCTAAGAATCACATTTGTTTTTTTAATAAAACCCAATCATTGAATTTGTTTCAAAGTCAAAAATGAATTACTACCCAAGACACAAATGTTGGTGTTTCTGGCTGAAACCTTTGGTTATGAAAACACTGGGTGGAAAAATGCCTCATGCTGACTGATACATTGCAGGTGCCTGTGGATAAGGACTGGCTCTCTGCTCCAGGACCACTGGCACTAAAGCCCTGAGGGATTATCTTATGCCAAGCTTAAAGTAGAAATCCATGTTGTTTGTAATCACAGAGAGTGAAAATAAGTCTCAGGAAAGCTCCCTGTGATGTGACTCAATTCCTCTTTCCTTGCTTGGCAAGAATAGGCCTCTAACCCGTATTTGCCGACAAGAGGAGGTACCACGGTGGCATCAGGGGGCCGATTCCGATGCCCCTCCTGTAGACACGAAGTGGTTCTGGACAGACACGGGGTCTATGGACTTCAGAGGAACCTGCTGGTAGAAAACATCATCGACATCTATAAGCAGGAGTCCACCAGGTAACACTCTTCCATGTGCCAAATCCTTTTGATGCTTGTTTGTATTTGTTTGTGTTTTTTCAAAAGGGTTGCCACACTGAATGACCAGAGACTGACTGTTTTATAGTAAAGGGATTTTCCAAGTCAATCCTTCCCAATGGGACTGAGAGTCGCTCATGGGAAGAGAGAAGGGAACTGGTGTTCAGCTTTGGTATCATGTAAGAATGAAGTGACTCATTAGCACTAATCCATCCCAGATGGTGATGCTGAAAGAGGCATGCGGTGGCCCTCCCCTGAAAGCCTTGTAGTACATACATTTTAGACATTTTTTGCACATTACAGATCCTTTGTATTTCCAGACCCTTCATAGCAGAAAAATTCCAGTGCAAATATAAAGTTAACAGAAATGGCATCTTCCAAAATAGCCCAGTTTTTAGTTCAGACATTCTTGCCCTTAAAATTATCTAGCTAATAATAAGAAAAACAAAATCCTCTGACATTGTCACCAGTTTGAATCTATGAGAAATTCAAAGGCAGATATCAATCCTGGCCTTTACAGACTTACAGTTTAGAGACATGGGAGGGGGAAAAAATTAAGTCCAGGCTGTATATTACATTTGCTGTATACTTTTAGCATTTACTTGATTGATTGTTATATACATCCATCCCTTTAAAAAAAATATTAAAGGTTTCTTATTTATGGAACCACATTGGCCATGCAGTTTCTTTCCTAGAGACAACACTGCAAAAATATATTCCTAGAAGGCACAGAGTGAAGAGCCTTTTCACTATTGTGCACAGCTCAGTCCAGTCCACAAAGCTCGGTAGCAATATGGAGACCCTCTAGAAATGGCCTCATTGAGATTCTTATTCAGGGTCATGTATTTATAGAACATCTGTTAGGTTTTAAGAGCCTTGTGCTTTAGAAGGAAAGCTGTTCTACAAATCTAACCTATAATTATTGTAATTATTATGGCTATTAGTTTCTGCTTGAGATTCAAAACTTAATTAGATAGTACCAGGATATACATGGGATTGGGGAAGAAGAATGGTTAATGACTTATTGCAGAAATTGCAGCCACCTGTTTCCCTTGCTTCCAAAATCTCCTGACAAGAAAGAAAGTACTACTGTTGTTATCACATCAGAGATCTGATCTCACTGAATTTTGTTACTTAAAGTGCAAATGCACAAATTGTCTTTTAAAAAATGAACCAATTAATAATCAACCAATTATTAAAACGAATTTCTATGATAGCTATTTTAGTGCCTAGTACAGGAATTGGCTTATTTTGCTTAGCATGAAATTCTCGCCTTACATCAGATAGTTGCTCTCTAAGCTTACATTAATAATGACATTAATATTATTACATTAACTATATTAATTTTCTCACGGGTTGCCACAGTGGGAACTTGAAACATGAAAAAAAACAATACTTGTTATGAAATCCAGAGGAGAGGAGGTGTTAAAACTTATGGCATTAGAAAAACCACAGAAACACTTGCTTACTTGAGCCATAAACTCGGGTTGTTGCCGCTACCAAAAATAGTGCCGAGGAACTGGGAAGCAAATTGCATGAAAGGAATGAACCAAATTTCTAAAAAAATAAGCTCATAATCAAGAATAAGTTTGCTTTTTTTTGATTATCAAATTTTTCCTATGTTGTTTCTTAAACATGAGACTTGCCTTTAAGGCATTTTAACTTGGTGGTCAAACCACAAGTGGCCCAGAAGGCTTGGTCACAGGTCTGGGCATGGAGTCAGTTGTTCTCTGGAGGCTGGAAGTCTTGACAGATCAGAACTTTGAACCTCAGGGTACATTAGACAACCCTGGAATAACCTTGGATAAGAAGAGTGAAATGAGCCCTGCTGTGGCCATTGGGACGACAAAGGAAAGGGGAGGAGGTGTCAACAATGGACCATGGGTACTGGGCAACTCTGGCCTCTTACAGAACACCTAGAGACTGTAATTCTCCACAAATCCTGGCCTTATCTAGAATAGGGCATGGCACTAAACTAGTCTCAGTTTGGGGGTTTGGCAGGAGAAGAAATTAATTTGGTTAATATTAAGAATAAACAGTAATGAACTTTTAAAGTATAATAAGCAAAATTACTATGTGCTATGGGTAAGACACTGTTCAGGGTGCTTTATGTGTCAATCTTGTGCGATTCTTTAATTCTTACACAATCCTCTGAGGTGATACTTCTGCTGCTGATGTTAATGATTACTATTACTGCCCTATTAAAAATCTTTATTATTTATTTATTTATTTTAAAGTTTGATAATTGTTTTTTTTATTTGTTCTAATTAGTTATACATGACAGTAGCATGCATTTTGACACATCATACATAAACAGAATATAATTTTCTCATTCTCCTGGTTGTACATGATATAGAATTATACCAGTTGTGCAGTCTTATATGCACATAGCTTAGTAATGTCTGATTCAGTTCACTGTCTTCTCACCCCCATATTCCCCCCACCCCCATCCCTTCACTCCCCTCTGTCTAATCCAAAGTACTTCTATTCTTCCCTAGGCCCATTCACTTATTGTGAATTAGCATCTGCATATCAGAGAAAACATCCAGCCTTTGGCTCTTTGGAATTGGCTTATTTTGCTTAGCATGATATTCTCCAGCTCCATCCATTTACCTGCAAATGCCATGATTTCATTCTTCTTAAGGCTGGGTAATATTCCATTGTGTATATATACACCACATTTTCTTTATCCATTCATCTCTTAAAGGGCATTTAGGTTGCTTCCACAGTTTATCTATTGTGAATTGAGCTGCTATAAACATCAATGTGGTTGCATTACTATAGTATGCTGATTTTAAGTCCTTTGGGTATAATCGAGGAGTGAGAGAGTTGGGTCAAATGGTGGTTCCATTCCAAGTTTTCTAAGGAATCTTCATACTGCTTTCCAGAGTGGTTGCACCAATTTGCAGTCCCATCCCAGCAATGAATGATTGTGCCTTTTCCTCCACATCTTTGCCAACATTTATTGTTGCCTATATTCTTGAAAACTGCCATTCTGACTGGCGTGAGATAAAGTCTTAGAGTAGTTTTGATTTGCATTTCTCTAATTACTAGAGATGTCAAACATTTTTTCATATATTTGTTGATCAAATGTATATCTTCTTCTGGAAATGTCTGTTCAGCTGCATAACCCATTTATGATTGGATTGTTTGGTTTTTTGGTGTTAAGTTTTTTGAGTTATTTATATATCCTGGATATTAGGGTTCTATCTGATGTGCATGTGGCAAAAATTTGCTTCCCAAATATAGGCCCTCTATTCACCTCATTGATTGTTTCTTTTACTGAGAAGAAGCTTTTTAGTTTGAGTCCATTCCATTTATTAATTCTTGATTTTATTTCTTGTGCTTTAGGAGTCTTGTTAAGGAAGTTGGGGCCTAATCCAAAATGATGAAGATTTGGGCCTACTTTTTCCTCTATTAGGTGCAGAGACCAGAATAGTCAAAGCCATCCTTAGCAAGAAGAGTGAAGCAGGAGGCATCAGAATACCAGACCTTAAATGATACTATAAAGCCATAGTAACAAAAACAGCATGGTATTGGCACCAAAATAGACATGTAGATGAATGGTACAGAATGGAAGACACAAACAAACCCACATAAATACAGTTATCTCATAATAGACAAAGGTGCCAAAAACATACATTGGAGAAAAGGTAGCCTCTTCAACAAATGTGCTGGGGGAACTGGAAATCCATATGTAGAAAAATGAAAATAAATCCCCATCTCTCACCATGCACAAAACTCAACTCAAAGCCCCTTGCTTCTTGAATCCATGTCTTCCTCTTTGTTAGTTTACTCTTTTGTTTTTGTGGAGCACATCCTTAAGCAATCTCTTAAAATATACACAGTCCTCTTCTTTTTAGCTTCCCTTAAATGCCTATCTTCAGGATACCTTGTAGAGGTTTAACTGCAGCTTCTGGATGCAGTTTCAGAATCTTTCCAGAACTTCACAGTTCAAGTCAGCTGGCTTCTTGTAGAATTCTCCCCTGTAGGCACTTAGAGCTAAGATGTAACTCAAGTAAGTCACTGTTCCCAATCTCCAACATTTGGTGACATCTCTCATTTGCTGTCATCTTGCTTACTTTTAGTTCTTTATTGATTTATACCTTTTTATTTCCTTATCTCATTTTAGGTGGATTTCATCAGGAAACATAAAAACATGCCTGTGTTCATTTTGCCATATTTAATTAGAAGACTCTTGGTTCAATTTCTAGACATAAGTAAAAACTGAGACCAGAATAGATTGAGTAACTCACCTAAGGCCACATGGAGAAGCCGAGGTAGGATTAAGCTTTAAGATCAGTACAATCATACTGCCTGAATCACTTCACCAAGACCAGACACCTACCTTTCAGTAAATGCTGGTGTGGTCCCCACAGCCTCCGAGATGGGCAAGAGCAGGTACAGGTTCATTGCATCTAGCCTACACAGCATGTCTGGGAGTCTCTGCCAACATTTGACACTGATCTCTGAACCATGACTATAAGCTTGGACACTCACCTCATAAAAATGCATTCACATCTTTATTCTGCATGCCATATTTGTCCCAAAGTTGTAATTTCTTGTAAGTTATTCAGAGGTTTTCATTGTATGCTCATTTTTAAGCCAGTGATACCCTTGGTCCTGTGTTGCCACCTAAACAAGAAAAACCTAATAAGGAATATGGGAAGCAGTTCTCAGTATATTGTTGCATCATGAAAAAGAAGAAATTGAATCACAAACAAAAATAAGCACATATCCTGATGACTGTTTCCACATGTTCAGTACCTCCTATCCTACATATACCTGTGCCTATAACACCGTCTCTGGTGACAACAGAACAGCACCTGGGACACAGGTTGCCCTCAGGAAATGCTTGGGGGAGGTGAATGCAGTAGCTCTTCCTGCACCAGACTCTTGATTAGTTCACATTTATTACAAGATAAAGATACATGGGAGGGAAGGTTTTGGAGAAAGAGATGCCTTTGATCAGACAGAGACCAGTTTGTCAGTCCTTATCTGTAGATAACACCCAGAGGGCCTGGTCATTTATGAATGGAGTCCTCAGGATGTTGTCTGGTCTTTCCCTTTGCCAAATGGAAGCCCATGTTTCCCATCCCCTCTAGAGCTGTGTGGTGATATGTAAAGCTCAGAGTACACTGTCCACCAGTCAGGCAAATTACCTTTTATCTTCTTATTCATTCAATAAATATTTAAGGAGCCCTTTCCTGTATGCAAGTTACTGTTCTGGGTTTTGGGGGAATCCAGCAAAAAAGAAGACACACCATAGCCCCTGCCCTCAAGGAGCTCACGTTCTAGTGGAGGAAATAGCCTTGGAGGGAGAGTAATCTTCCCAGTTATGGGATTACTTTTCTTGCTTAATTCCCAAGCATATGGCCCAGTCAGGAAGTCATAGATTACTCAGGCAACACCAGTTACAACCAATAACCACTAGCTGCTAAGCTGCTCTAAGACCAGATTGAAATTCTTCTTGCAAACATCAGATTCCAAGAGCTTAAAGCTGGAAGTCCATGCAGTTTCCCTACCAGACCTGGAGACTTCCTGACATTTAGTTGCCCCAATCCAAATACTGGACTTTTGCCTAGTGACTTATAGAGTATATTGGCATGTTCTCCATCTTCTTCTGAGTTCTAACACTAGTTAAATATATCACATATCAGCATTAATTGTGTTCAAACATTTTTATTTATGACTCACAGTTAGACGTATGCTTTTCATTGTTAATATTGACCAATTACATATATGGATACGTATGTATATATAATCTCATATTTTGTGTTTGTGTGTGTTTGTGTGTGTATGCCTAATACAAAATTTTACATATCAGTACTTATTCTTACCTCATATAATGCACAGTATTTGCTATTCAATTTTATTTTAACTTTAGCAATGCTAGTCACAACCCCCTAAACTGATTTCATGCCCCTTAAAACCTATAATTTTTAAGGAATGTGACTCAATAGCAACTGAGAAGAATGAGTCCCAAATATGAGATGCTTCTAAATATCTATGTGGTTGGGACTATTAAATATGCTCTTGGATTTAGAGTTAATAATTTTCATTTTTTTCTAAATACTTATGAAAACTATTAACAGTCTTAGTCTTTAGATAGAATACATCAGAACTCCTGTATTTTGTATAAGGAACCCACATCCACACTTCCCTCTTATGTACTTCTAACTTCCAACCAGCACCTAGATTAATAATAAAAGAAAACTTTGGCTCTCCCTAGCCGTCTTCAGTTTTATAGGTGGGAAAGGTGTTTGCCAAGACCAGAGGCTGAAGGGCTGGGAGTGAGCTCTTCTGCTGACATAAACTTGATATTTAGCTTATCAGCAACTTCCCCTTCTTACCCATAATAGGAAAGTGTCTCATGAGAAACTTGTGAGCTCATGGACACAGAGCTGGAGCACATTGCTGATGGCTGGCAAGGGCCCAGCATTCAACTTTCAGGAATTTCACTAGACAGTTTTAAAGCTTGAATTGAAATCAGCCATGATGGAAATACACTATGAAAATTGATAAATGTTACAAATCAGTGTCTCCAGGCCCCAATCCCCTCGCCAAACTGGTTGTTAAGAGACTTGTCAGCACCCACCACTAACTTACAGGGAAACTGAACTCCAGGCATTTGGGGTACAGGAAAGAAACCCCAGCAGTCTTCTGGTGGCTGGGGGTTCAGGGACCTGTCTCTGCTCTGTTCCAATAAAAATTGATGAACATTCATCCGCCTACTTCCTCCCAGGCCAGAAAAGAAGTCTGACCAGCCCATGTGCGAAGAACATGAAGAGGAGCGCATCAACATCTACTGTCTGAACTGTGAAGTGCCCACCTGCTCCCTCTGCAAGGTGTTTGGTGCACACAAGGATTGCCAGGTGGCACCCCTCACTCACGTGTTCCAGAGGCAGAAGGTAAAGAAGCCACTCCAGCTCTTTCTCCTCAGTTCTTTTCAAGTGTTGGTGTGGCCAGCTCCGCTCTGGGGAAGGAGTCAACCCAAGCCACGCAGGGCCACAGGGGCCTGGAGGGCATGTGCAGAGGGGCCCCTCAAGGGAAGATATGGGACAGTTGGTGCACACAGAGCCTCATGTCAGCTTCCCTGCAGGGTGGTAGGGAAGACCAGGGAGAACAAGGATACTGAGGTTCAGGAACAGATGCAGAAGGACAGAACCCCAGATTGTGTGCCTTTTGGAGGTTGCTGAAGACAAAGCATGTTAAGGGGCCAGCCCCAAGCTCAACCTGCTTACAATTATTGGAAGTTTAGATTACAGATAAGAATAAGAATAAAATAAGAATTGCATGGACCCGCCATTAGGAACTCCATAAGATAAGAAAAGGGTGGCTTTCCCCGCCTCCAGTCACAGAATACTTTTCTTCATTCACCAAGGAAAGTTCTTTTGCCCTCTGTAGATCCCACTCCTTGTGGGAGAGAGTTGTCATGGTGACATGAAGTTACTGAACAGCTTTAAAACTTTGCCTCCTGTTGGGCTTCAGATTGCCCAGCTTCTAAAAGCCATCCCAAGGATGGTGTGTCTCCCTGCCACACCCACCCAGGCCTCCACCTCAGCCCCCTCGTTCTAACCAAATAAAGTCTCCACATCAGCTCATCACTAACCTGCCGGCCTGGTTTCATGCAGGAACTTGTGAGAACTTATCCCTTGGGTGCAGATAAAAGTGGGGTTGGGGCACTGAGACTTGCAGACACTCTTGGACTGAGAATTCGAGTAGCTCCACCTCTTGGTATCTCAGAATCATCAACTCCTTGTTGGTCAGTGTTTAACTGTGAAGATCAGGGCTGAAATCAAATCTGAAGTGCACTGTCAGGCAACACCAACTACCACCAATAACCACTAGCTGCTAAAGAAAGAGGGCTTTGCACATTTATTTTTCAATTTACTTTTGACTTATTCCCCCTTCTCCTCCTTTCCCCCTGTCCCATACCCCCATCCTAACATTATTTTCCTTAAAGCCCTGGTGACTCGTGGGAAGGGGATAGGGACAGAAGGTGGGACTCTGTCTTGGCTGCTGTTTGGTCAAAGCTGCTTCACTTTTACCTGATAGGATTATGTATTAGCTTCCATTTGAAGATATGATTCTTCAGCTTTCAGATGTTTTACAACTACTGTTTTGATCCAGATCTCCCATTTTAAGTAAGAGGAAATCAGGGTCCAAATTGAGTACATGTGTTGCCCAACTTATTTACAGAGTTGGACCACGCATGTAGATTTCCTATGTCACCATTCACTGCTCCCTGCAGCTCCATAGTCAGAAATGGGAAGAGGGTAAAATGTTTAGAGTTCCTCAACTTGAATATGTCATTCTCCATCGCTATAATTTCAATGGTCTTCCTGTTTTCCACAGAGTCACAGTCTCCAGTGAGAATGTGAGGAAAACTGTGAAATCCCTTCCCACACAAACGCATCCCTATCTGAAGGTGGGCTTGCAAGAACAGGAGGTTCACAGGTTTCCCAAATCTCACTGTTATTCCTTTGGAATTGCATAGACCCGCCATTAGGAATTCCATAAGAACAAGACTGTGTGACTTAATCCACACTCTCTAGTGACTAGGAAACCTGGCCCCCAAGATCTTGAGTCCTTCTTTTCTCTTCATCAGTCAGAGCTCAGTGATGGCATCGCTGTTCTTGTGGGGAGCAATGATCGAGTCCAAGGGGTGATCAGCCAGCTGGAGGACACCTGTAAAACCATTGAGGTAAGTCAGGTGACTCCCAGGGAGGTGGGCCTACAACTCCTGGGGTTTGTAGCTTCCTCAGTGCCCCAGTAGAAATCCCCATCCTGCCCTTAGTTCTTTCCTGACAGAATGGCTTCCTTCCTGATATGTCTCTGAAATGCTCACTTCCTGGCACTTTAGAGAAATTGCCAAGTGAGTGAAAGAGGCAGATTTTACCACAATTACTCAGGTGGTGGTTGTATGTGTTGCTCTTCCTTGGTCAACTCCTTTTGAAAGATTAAGCAAGGAGAAAAATCAATTTCCAGTTCATGGGAAATGAATGTTACTGCTACTCCTGCAAAATTTCTTGGGGTAAATCCTGACAGTCTTAAGTCATACTAGTAACATGCCTATTGTTTTACATGTATGTCTGTTAATTTTATGAATGGCGTGTTGCATTTTTCTTTCTGCTTCTTTTTTTTAACCTAAGAATTATGTTCTTAAGATCCATTCATATTACTATGAGCATGTATATTATATATCTAAATATATATTAGACCTTTACATTATATATATATTATATATATAATAGATCTTGGGGTCTTCTTTACATATTCCTCTATCTCACATTTTTATAAAGTAAGTCTGAAATATTTTATAACCAGTAAAATAAAAAAACAAATGAATGGTACTCACTTTATAAAGTTGCTGAGAGGAATTTAAAAAGCAGAATGCTTAGCACAGTACCTGGTATGTAATGAATGACCTGTGAAAACTCATTATTATTTTATCATTAGAAAGACCCGTTCTATTAAGAGCTAAGGGCCATTTCCTAGATGATGGCTTCAAGATATTAGCTACAATTGTCTCATTTTAGATCTACACATCATTAAATCTCCTTTCTTCTCCACACTCACATCCTTAAAAAGACCCATGAAAAATCTAGGGTTCATTTATAGAAGAAATGTTTTGTTCTTGGTGAAGAACTCAAAAAAGAGTCAGAAATGGGCAATATCCACTTTTTCCTTTGCACTTATTTACAGTAAAGGTCAAATACAGTTTAATCAGTAGCCATGGATTAGGACAGACCATATTGAGTCTGGAGTGTTTAAGTAGGAGGCTGTTGCTTCTAAGTGAGATAATCTGCAGATCCCTGGGCCTTTTTCAGAGATGTCTGTGAGGTGGAACTGGCTTTCTGTCTGAAACTGCAGAATACAAACAGGAGAAAAACCCTGTGGGTCACATTGGAGCCTTGAGCAAATGCAAACAATTCAATTCGGCTCCTTTAAACCAGCATCAAAGGGTGGCAAGAGATTTGACAACAGGGTTTCTTCACAGTGACTGGTCAGAATCCAAGTGGAAAGCAGCTGTTTCTAATTATGCTGAGAACAAGACAAGAAGGAACAGATTTCAAGTTAATTCAGCAGAAGGGCGTTAGGGCAGATATCAGGGAGAACTTTCCAGAAGCAAAGGTGGGGATCATTACCCCATTCTTACTGGTAATGACATTCATTACCTGTCACATTTTTATTTTCACAGCTTACTAAAGGAGGGTGTGTAATTGCTCCCTGCAAGTCTGTTTTGACCATCCCTTTTTATCTGTTTATTTTTGGGATTTTATCTTAAGGAAATAGGGAAAAAGCATAGAAAATGTTTATTTTATACACACACACACACACACACACACACACACACACACACACACCCACCATAGGATATATCTATATGCATAATATATAAATGTATTATATATATATACATATATAATAAATAGTATAGGATGTATGCATTCCTATATAACAACACAGAATGTGTATATTTATATCGAACCTTCTGTACAACCATGGGAGGAAAAACACCAGAAAGGCTAAGACCTTTAAATAATGGAACTGAGGGTGATTTTCAAGGCCTTCTTTACATATTTGTCTATCTCACATTTTTATAAAATAAGTCTGACATATTGTATAATCAGTAAAATAAAAAACAAATGAATGGATATGATGTGGATCAGCATGGTTCTTTCAGATCAGTGTAGGTGGCTCATCTGGAGATGCAGGGATTGCCTCAGAGCACAGTGGAGGTCTCTGACTTCCGGGTTCCAGTCCTGTTTGAAGGGCCCCTGAAGACAGGCACACCATCACAAGTAGTCACCTCATGCACCTATGGTTCCCAGTAGACCAAACCTGCATCCGTGAGCAAAACCTCAGAGGTTCTGCCTCTCACCAGCCTGCAAAGGAGGACAAGGTGGAGCAAACCAGGTCTTTGGGCTCTGAGTGAAATGGTTCCACTTTGCTCAACAGGTGACTTCTGCGACAGGGATGTGGAAACAGAGCTCCCCTGTCTCCTGTTCTGCCTGGGACTGTTGTTTCTCTTCCTGGCTTTGCTCACCACCTGCCTGGAAACATTTTTTTGAGAAGCTATTGGTGGTTCCTGGGGGTGGGGAGTTGTTGTTAAAGAATTCTCTTTTCTGATTGGTGAAGGACTCCTTAGGGATAGGAAATGGAGTAGCCCCTGGAGTGGGCACGGTCCTTCCATAATTACTTCATCTCTCCACTGGGACACTGACACCTGCCCTCTGGTAGTGGTGCCTGTTCCTTGCACATGTCTAATTTTGTCCCCGATCATGTAATGTCTTGCCTAGAGAGGCTCCTGGCCAGGGATCTGCACTGGAGCATTGCTGAGCTTAGGGTCAATCACATCTGGATTCCTTGTTACTCTTTAAAAAAAAAAAAAAAAAAAAAAAAACCCGCATGCTGTTGACGTATATTTACATTGATGATAGGAACAAATTTGAGGGTGGCTATAGTTGTCAAGGGGCAGTATGGGCTGTCTTGAATAGGGAATGGCATTTCCGTCTGCTGTGTGCTATGGTGGAGCAAAGGACCCCTGAGACTTAGCCATTCCAGATGAGGGTAGTCTAAGATGTTGCCTGAGTTTTGGATTGCAGGTTGACCAAGGGTTTCTGAGATGTTTTGGATGAGCCTATGCTCTGGACTTTACTTGCTTTTCCAAGCCTGCAGATATTCTGAATTGGGCTGGAACTGGGAAGGGGATTGCACACAATAGTGAAGTTCTCCTTGGGAGGAACTCTGTACTTCTGGGAAAGCATGCTTCACTTTCATTCCTCATCCCTAGAAAACATAACCTCTCTCTTGTCATATTTACCAAGGGCACTTATCCTATGTCACTGGATAGCTCAAGGAGCAGGGTATTAATAGTAGCCCTCCCATGACAAACAGGCAAACCTTGGAAATAATACTGTTTCGTATGAATACCTGTCTAGGGGAAATTGCCACAAGATGAATTGTAAACAATTAATATTGTTCCCTATATCTGAAAATGACAACTTTTGTAAATCCTCCAGTAATTTTGTAAGTACTGATCCATTATATTTTCAAAACAGTGATTTTTTTATTGACTTTTTAAAAAATAAATGACAGCGGAATGCATTACAATTCTTATTATACATATACAGCACAATTTTCCATATCTCTGGATTTTACCCCCAACTGTTTTTACCCCCAACTGTTTTTCCTCATCTCTGAAACATTGTCCATGCAGGTACAAATACAAAATAGGAGATATATATATATATAATATATAATATATATTATATATATATATGTAATTTTAATAAGTATGCCAGAATTTTGAGACCATGTTTTTAATGCAAGATAATATGCTTTTTCAAAAGAACAGATTTAAGAGTATTCATTTTTGTTCCATAACTTAATTATGGGAGGTGGGGCAAGTTACTTCAGCTTGCCAACTCTCCAGTTCCTCAGCCTTAGGGTGGGGATGATAATACTCTCCACAGTGTTGTGACAATCAGGTTTTGGGGTAAGAGCATGTGCCTGGGGCTTGTAGGCAAGGCCTCAGTCGCCTTCAGAGTCAGCTTAGAAAGCACATACTTTTACTGACAATGCAAACAAACCATCCCCTTACCACTGGGACTTGTTTTAAGTGGTGCCCGGAGACTATCAAGGTCCTGGTTAATTGTAATAGCAGGGCTGAGCAGCTCCCTTCAGAGGGGAAAATTAAAAATGAATGGAACTAGATATTAGCTCTATTCTTTATCCAAAAGGCTTTGTGACAACCTGAAATATTGGCAACCAAGGTAGATCGAGCAGCTCCTGGGAAGCAGGCTGCCTATTCACAGAGCACGGTGAGTTCAACATCTGCTCAACTTGCCATGTGGCTTCCACTGCACAGTGGGCTCCCATCAGAACAAGCCCACCTGGCCACATCCCTCATAGGGTTGATTCAGGAGATAACCCAGAAAAGCCCCAAGGCCAAGGGCCTCATTAAGAAATGCCTCAAATTATGACATAATTATCCTCCTAATGTAGAGAGACTGCTCAATACAGTAGGAAAGAGTATTACTTTGGGAGACCTAAGAACCACAACCCCCAAATGTATTTGTTCAGCTGAGTTCTACACAAAGGCATGAGCTGGCAGGGACAGGGCAGAACCCTGGCCTGTACCTAGAGGCCCTTTTCTAGGTACATTCTATTCTGTGCCCCTGGGAGTTCTCCAAATGGTTGTCATGGGAACTTTATAGATGAAGGCCTAAAATTTCTGGTAAGAAGTTCCCATCTTAATGTAGGGTTTTTTTTATATATATAAAGTTTTCTTGTGTGGCTTTTTAAATACCTTTATTCTATTTTTATATGATGCTAAGGCTCAAACCCAGTGCCTCACACCTGCTAGGAAAGCGCTAACCATTGAGCAACAACCTCAGCACTTTAATGTAGTTCTTCCTTCAGTGTTACTAGTCTACTGTCTGTTTTTTCTTTCTTTTGGGGAGACATTGTGGTGGGGGAAGAAACCCTGTCTGGCTTCATGAAGGAACTTGTGAAGTACTGTATTTCAAGTGAAGCTGTCACTCTGAACAAGTGTGTCTCCGTGAATGCTGGAGGAATGTGGTGGAGATATCAATGGGCCTGGTGGAGCCGCAGTTGCTCAGTGACAAGTGGTGGGGCTAAGAGTTATCTCAGGCTCTATTTTAGTCACAGAACTATGCTCCTTACATGGTAAGGGCA